GTCTGGAACTTTTATTCCAGGGTGGCTACCCCCGGTACCACCCGATCTGTACTCCCCCAGGAGGGCCCCCTTCCTGGACCCCTACTCCCCAGTCGTCCTTCCCTGCCACCCAAATTTTACCCACAGCCAGTGTGGTATTTCCTAAATGTAGTATCGTTAGTGGAAGCTCAGACCAAGCCTCGAAAGAGGATCATTAATTGTAGTTTTTCACTTGAGCGTTGAAAGTAATTCGCATTTTTCATAGCTTTGTCGTCCATTCAGAAGTAAAACCAAAACCAATTTTACACGTGACTTGGCCGTACTCGTTTTCGAGCGCTTCTGTCAGCTGCATGTTTTTGCTTTGAGTTTTGATTGGTTCACTGGATTGTCTTTGTCCTTTGTTATTGGCCAGTGGTTACTTTTGTTTTGGTTTTGCGATATTCAGTTCATGACCGCCCTAGTAACAAATGTAACAGCACTTGTTACTTCTGGCCAGTTACCAACTTTAGTTACGTGCGGAATTATGATAACTCTGTTGTATTGTTGCAGCTTCATGTCACTTGCTTGTTTCACTGGCCAATCAGCATGGATACTTAAAGTTCTTCTCTACCAGGTATGATCTTTGTATATTTGTAATGAGAACCCTTCTGTAAACCCATTTGTGATGTGGGCTTCCTCACTAAAGACAATAAGACGCTTAATGGTTTGATTCTGGATAAGATAAAGGGTTGGATTGAATAATGCTTCTCGTATTAGTTACCTTGCACAGTGATATTACTGTACACTTAACTAGCATTTGCAGTATCTGTATAGCAGAATTTGTAAACATATCAACTGTGCCACAATATTACTCACTTAATTGTGTAATGAAGTTTTTATAAACATAGTCTTAAAGGCCATTAAGATCAAATTCTCCATACCAATTTTTTACATTTTCGCACACAACAGGTCTTTCCTAGATTTTTTGCCAAATTTCAATCTATTACGAACATTAGAACTCATTTCGTTTGGACCTTTATTTCCGAGAATTTACGGCCGTCATTAATTTTCCTTGCTCCAAGTCTTGGTTGAGAATTTGAGAAAATGACGTCATTTTCTGAAAAATACCACACGGGTTGAAATTATAATAACAATTAGCACAGCAATTCGCATAAAGAATAACAAAAACTTTGGCTCATATATTCGTGCAATTTTT